TATTAAGAAATTGTTAACGGAATATCCACATCGGGAGCTTCATCACTCATGTAATGAACCTGACCATTTAAAAACCTGATTCACGGACGCTTTTCTTGAGTCGCTGAGGCCAATGCGTTTATGTACCCCTCGCATATGACTCACGTACTTGCAATGAGTTGTGTTTGTAAAGTGTAATGAATTTGGAATTGGGATATGACGATTTTGTTAAAAAAAATGATCTAAAAATGGTAAGAAGATGAATAAAATTAACAAATAATAGCAAATGAAAAATTATAATAAAAATCATTCGATCATTCACAATTGATCAATTGATCAGCTAGCCAGTCCCACATTCCAATGGCCAATAAATATAGAAAAACTTCGAAAGAATATAAAAGAAAATCATTCATAGTCAAACGTTCGGGTTTATTCGAAATTAACGAAGGAATCACTTGGCACATCAAATCGTTTCTCTTCTTTGTCGATGAATAATCAATCGAAGTAATTAACTAGAAATTCTCAATACAGCACTCAATGAGACTTGAATACTCCTCAAAATGATATACCTATTCGTTAAGTAGATATTTATCAGAAGGATTTTAATAATCTCTGTCACATTCGTTTCAATCATCCTATAATTAGAAATTCCCACGAGCATTTCACGGAAATTTATTTCGCAGTCAATTTATTTTTCAGCAAAAAGGATCAGATCAAGTTAATTATCAAATTTTACAAACCATTCATGCACACAAATTTCACAAAACGACTTTATTAAATAATCCCTTCGATTATTTAATTCTATTGAGTCGGTACTCATGGATTGAATTTAGTTGCAGTAAATCAGAAAAACAAGTGTGCACAAAAATGTGAAAATGATGACATGAAAATTTCCTTCTTTCCTTCAAATAAGAAAATGAAAATTGTTTAAATAAGACTACACTGTAATACAAATGGCTAATCCCATTGAACCAAGTTCGAGACGCCGTGAAATAACGTGGGTACCCAAAATGAATTATTACAGTGTACTTATCTGTTCCATGGCCACGAGAGGAAAAAAAGGCCGAGAGTCCTCGTTGATTTGCCTCGAGGCTCATCCCTTAAATCCTGTGACTCATCAATTTTTTTCTCCGATAATTGAGTTCTCTGTTTACTTCTTACCACTATTTCAGTTTCTGTTTATTCCCAATACCGAAAAGCTACATTCCTAATTTCCCTAAAAGTCTTATACGTATTGAGGCTCACCAGATCGAGTTCCCAGGAACCCTGAGAACAGAAAAAACTATGAATCGAAGCCAGTTTTGCAGTTGAAAATTGTCCTCTCAAAGAGAAGAACAATGTATTTGAAGTACGACAAGATGGATTGAAAATGGAAAACTCTGTAACACCTGCCTTTGAAGGGTGCATACCCATTCTTCATACACTGATAGCATGATGAACGTGCACTAAACATAACATAGCCAGGAATGCCAGTGAAGTTCCTTACAAATCACCCGCTTCTTTTAATTTCCGACCTGGTGATTGCGAGACATTGACAGCTGCCAATACTTTACTTTTTCAATATTTTCCATCCTCCATATTTGTGCTCTTGGAAAAAAAAACTATTACGCTTCCAGCAATTTTTTTTTCACAAACTACTGATACAATATGTAGATTCTCGACAACATGTTTACGAAGCCCTCCAGAAAAACGCTTCGTCAATCATCTCGATTTGTTTCTTTATTACTCACAATATTGGTAACCACATTCCTCTTTTACTGGTGATGCATTACCCTGGGACTTGGGCACCTTAATAACGCCCGTTTCCCTCCAGTGACACGTTAGCTATATGTGCTCAAGTGTTATATTTATGTGTACCACAGTAACACCGATCAAGCTTGCAACGTTGGTCGCATAAACAGTTATGATAGCGTCGGGCTTGGTGGAGAACCACTCAAGTGCGACAGATAGCTAGGGACATTAGTTTTCCGAGTGTACCCTTATAAACATGAGAGAATTACTTTCTCTGTACAATATATGTTCCCACCCATTCTCCGTGTTGCAAATTACGATCGAATTAATTGGCGGAAATTTGTAATTTCAGTTTATTAGGTACTTGTCTCCATAACTTCACTGAAAATCGTTAGAGGGTCAAATTTGGAAGTGCCTCGATTTTGGCACAATGAAGCTGACAGTTCTGTATGTGTTAGAGTCTCAAAGTAGATGTTGCGGACAAGATATAATGTCAACCTGCTGACCTTTGCGTGACCGTCATTAGTCATGACGGGAAGTCATTGCGTTTCGCGGATTAAAGCTATGATCATACTACAACTTCATTGATTTTAACAAGAAAATTTTATTCAAGGTAGTCATATTAATAAATGGAAATAACCGCAAGGTTACCAAAATAATTTTACCGCCACTCCACCGCCTGATGTCAAATTCTACATTTCTATTGGTCGATATTCAGATGGCAGAATAATCAATAGAATTTCACAGTTACCAACCGAAAAATCTTTAAAAATTCGTTGTCATCGATTTCTATAAGAAAGGTGTAAAAATTCGTATTTAAAATTTTTAATTTTTTAGGTGAACAGTTGATGAACACATTCTAAAAGCTTCTGCCATTCACCTTGATACTTTACATAATTCAGTAGCGAAGTGGTCCACCGGTTCAAGTCAATTTGGTCTTTAGTTGAGTTTTCCAGAAATATTTCCGAATGTAAGTCAGATGGCGAAATTTTATTATGAGAAAAATGTTGCTCTTTTTCTTAGATTTCGAGATATTTATTGTAAACTGGCCAATAGCCAAAAGCGACTTAAACTGTTTGACCACTTCGCTACTGAATTTCACTTGAGAAGATGAAAATCTTACCGTCACCACTCTTACTTCACTACTCCAAGCAAAGTGATTCATGATCCAGAACGAAACGTGTAAGGTGACGCCCTAACACTCACTCGACCATGATAATTGAGGTCGAGGGTGGGAATCCCCTTTACTCACCATTAGGATCACCATTGACTAATCAATTCAAGTGGTCCGCAATGCCCCGATCAGATTTCCATCCCTTCCCCTGAGAATCGGTGAAAAAATTCCTATGGAAGAGCGGGATCCAATGAGATATCGGTCCATAGAACGGACAATGAGTGAAAAATGAATCGTGGAATAGGCTGTACTATGGGAGCATAGAAAGTATCACTCGATTAGAGAGATGAGGGGAAAGCGACAAAATGGCCCCTCCTGACATATTTTTGGAACTTACAGATATCCAGGTATACATTGGCTATTTTTTCTCTAGTGAAATGCTTTTCTACTTTTGTAGTCGAAAATCAGAACTTTCATTTGAACCCATTCGACATTAACCTGCCGGACATTTTACAATTACTTTATTATTTAAACTTTCCAGGTATGAATTCCAAAGTTGAATCTCGATATTGAACAGTCAGAAAACATTTTAATAATCTGATAAAAACGTGGAAAGTTTATTTTTGGAGGAAGATTAATGAAATCATTAAAAAATTGCAATTTTTTGGCCCTTTTGCTTTTCTCAGAAAAATTGAAATTTTTAGGTTGGAAAACATACCAATAATTCTCGAAATTATCCCTAAAAATCGCAATTTATCAATTTTTTCGTATAAAATATCTTCTGCTGAACATTTCTATTCACAAAAATGCGTAAGAAAGCCCATTATATCCGGTAATAATATTCATTTTTCTCAATAAAGTAATCACTTGGAAGTACTGAAATTAAGTCCTAAAAGTACTTGAGAGAAGTTGAAAAATTACTTTTCACCAGTGCCCTTGGTACTTGTGCCATTTCTACTCGATCGACAGATGTGGTACTTCACCCAAGGACACAACATGTAGTTGGGACGAGTATTTTTAGAATTTTTCAAAAGTGAACTTTCCCCAAGTACCGGTTTGTACTGGTGAGAAGTAATTTTTTTTTGGTGTACGTAATTGTCAAAATTAAATGGTGAAAAACGTTGGAAAAATTCGGTACACGGAGAGAAATGTTCAGTAAAAATAACGGAACTCACAGTTCGCTCACCGATTACGGAATCAACTCAGAAAATTTAAGTGACGGTATCGTAATTTTTGACAGGAGTTTCAGGCAAAATTTCCTACAACCACGTTTCGCTCCGGAATTACAAAAAACATACGTAATTTTTATTGAATATTTCCCTCCGTGTAAATTCAATTTCAAGATTTAAAAAATACGCCCCTTTGGCTATACAGTGACGATACTATTCATTTAGTTGAATTTCATATACAGTCATTATGCATACTTATTTATATGTCATTTTAATATTTCTAAAGATGATTTTAAGCAGATCAAAAAATTAAACATGAGTAATTAAAGCTCCTTAGGTTGCAAGAAGAGAAATGTCTATTAAATTTGGCCACTAGAATAGCTATAGTAGCGTCATACTATTTCATTGCCCCCTATTGTTCCTTTTACCCGCATTCTCCTATGAAGTCGTCTGCAACAATTGCACCGGTTCTCGATTTTCATCCAGAAATTATTACCCCTATTCCTTTCTTTTTCATTTCAATGGCTTCATCGAATGTTCGCTCTCTCTAAATAGTAATTTTTTGTGGGGCTTTCACGAAGTGAATATCCATAATAATACTTATCGGAATATTCATGAGTACGATGCGAGCTTCATGAATAAAATATAAAATAGCCGTAGATTAAGTTACACAAATCTTTATCAGCTAATAATATCCACAAAATATTGAATAACCACGGTAATTATCGTGCCGCACGTACCCGCCTCATTGTGTAAAATTTTCTTTCGAATATTTCATAAGCTCAGTAGAGGAAAATTAATCGCCAATATTCATGCGACAACACAATGACCAAAAAGTATTTATTATGAAAATTTTGAGAGAGGAATCAATGTATTCGAGAGTGAAAGGGGGAAAAACCGACGGGGCCTCGAGAGATGCACGAGCCTGCGCAGTGTCGTATCAATTGGAGGGTTGCAGTGGGTAAATGTTTCGAGGGGCGCGTGGCGCTACCAGGGATGTCAGTCACGGCCCATCTGCCCACCAAAGAACACGTAAGTCCGATTTAAAAATGTTTGTCCAGCGTGCATTCTCCTACGAGTTTACAAATTTCTACATACGTCAGTAGGCCGTGACATTAAAGTAGAAAATTGGTGGAAATTTATTGATGACATGTGCCTTTCAATTGGTTGAATTATAACGATTGTGCATTTCGAGGATAACTATTGGCAATGTTGTGATAGGTGGGCCATAAAAATTTTGTGAAAATGGCGGTTATCTTTGCCGATCCTTGGATTTTCTAAAAATCACGAGTCAGCGGAAATTTTTCATTTTCTGAGTGAAAATTATGGTGGAAAGGTTTCCATTCCACCCACTATTTCCTGGTCTATCATTCTGATTTTTTATCTGATTCTCAATTCCATTGGTCACAATTTCATTGACAGAAGGATAACATTCTGCAGCTACATACTGCTCCAGAAGTTTTGAAATCTGTCACCTCAGTGTGAAAAATCTGAATTGGGTCAATTGGAAATTTGATTAATGAATGCAAACACACCTCAAAATTCTATAAATTGATTCCGTGGAATATAATTCACCTTAATTTCTACTCCACCAATTTACATCGGTGTTAATAATTCCACACTCGGTCAAGTAAATATCGACAAGCCAACACACGGGCAGCACATGCGGCTCCAACGTGAACAATAATTAAAACTTTTTAATTGGCCGAGAAATGTCGAAGCTCGCGCACCCATCAAATACCGTGATCTCAGTGGAATGTACGCGGGACAGAACTGAAAATACTTGGAGGTAGAGGGCAGTGTTTGATGCTACGATCCATAACTATTTTTCCATCCAATATGCATCAAGCAATGTTGTTTACCATCCCCTCGCACATAGTTGTAGATACTTAGGTCCTTACCCTATTTACGCGTCGTTCAATAAAACAATTCAGGTCAAAACTCCTGTAAACCGTATGACACTGTCTAAGCAGTGTCACCTTGAGAGTTCAACAATTCCCCTGTAGTAACAATCCAGTAATTAGTGCTACCAGTGATTTAAATTTTAATTATTCTAGTAATAATACTGGCGATAGTGTTTCCATGTGAATCACGGAAGTTTGACATTACTCTAACAACCGGAAAAATAACACACTACCTCGGCTACCATATTTCCCCATTCGTTTACGAAAATTACACCCTTGAGTTATTACTTTCCCTGCAAAACAATGGGATTCGGATTTCTCAATGAACTCCCCGAATTTTCCGCAGGTAACAAAAGCTCAAAACTATAAAGAGCGACAGAAACTGACACAGACTGACAAACACCGAATGAGAGCCATCAACGTCAAAGGAACTTCCATCTCTTCAACTCTCATTTTTCCAAAATCGTCACACTCAGATCATCTCAAATCCCAAAATCGTTACACTCAGATGAATCAATTCCACACTAAATCCCTTAAACCAAAACGGATTAGACACTTTAATCATCGTGATCTCTAACCACAGTGCTCATCCCGGATGACACCGCAATCATTGTCCCCAGTCTGGATCTGGGTGACAGCTGCAATCGTACGATCAGCAAGCCGCGATGATTTAACGAATTAACAAAGCATTCCGATTGTGGTAGATTGGCTCGCTCGGGTGATAACCTAACTGATCACCCCCGTGAAAATCGACGACTATGTTTTTGGTGGGTAATTACAGGGGAGATATAGATTGGCCACTACTCCGCAATTGTGCGCGCTAAAAATTTGTCATTTGGCATGATTTTTTGAGGGACTTAGACCTGACATAAAGCCATTCTGCCTCGACTAATTTTGTGTACTAAAAAAACAAAAGTTCGTGTTTTTGTTGGCATCGTTAGAAGAGATAATTATAATATCCGTTCGAATTGACTTCGAAATATATCACAATTCAGCTCCAAACGATCATTTCGCATCCAAAATTTCATCATTTAAGCTTATGGACTTCACAGAAAGGAAAGTTTTGATTTTCAAGGATATGTTACTGATCTTCAGCTACTTATCACTGGTGTTAGCAGTGTTCAATGCTTAATTTTTAGAAATTTATTCCCGACTTTCAGGGATTTTCGATTTTGTAATTCATTCATTGGAAATTAGCGATTTTGTCAGTAATTACCAGAGATATTATTACTAATTTTCGGGGAAATGTCACTGATTTTTAGGAAACAGGGATGCGAAACGACGTCACATTTTGAAATCTGTCAGTTCAGAAAATAATTAGCACCATGTGCTGCTAACTTCTCTCGTGTCATAATTTCCCTTGCTACGTTGCACCAACTAGCTAAACTAATAGTCATAAATTTGTCGGTCATAAAATTTCATCACATTTTTTAATGATCGATATTTTCAATTACTCATTTCGATTGGAATACATTGATTGAATGTGTCTGACAATCGACTCAAAACCTTGTCATCGAAGACATTTTACCACTAGTTGGGTGTAATGTGACGATCAAATAGTAAATTAGTCATAATGTTGTCATATTCACGTCCGTCCCATGACGGTCACTATATTGACGTCTCGGCGACTTATCACTATTTTTTAGGAATCATCAAATTTCAGGGATAGAAATCACTGATAATCTGGGTTATTCCAGTCAGTGTCCGGCATTACCAATAATTCGTGATAGATTCACAAGAATCCGTGACGTTTCTCTGGAAATCAGTCATTCATTGTCAACTCTTCATGAAATTTCTTTTTCCTTCTAACAGTGTAGGAATTTTTACTATTTTATTTTCTCCGTGCATTTCCTCTCATTTTGAAACTATCTATCTAGAGTAGCATTCTGCAGATGAACCTCTATAGAATCACAAACAGGAAATAATCGGACAGGAATTATAAAATTGTGTCCGTAATCAACGGCTTTTCACTCAGGACGCTCATTTCCCGCGCAATTACCCTATAATGTCCGATAATTGCATAACGAGATTTTTCATTGCGAACGAATTGTCAACTAACATCACGTGTTACTATTGCGTGTCCAGCAAACCAAGTAATGATTCCTCATCGATCTCAAGTGTTTGTGTGGTTTCCATTCATTTCATCCATTTCATTTTCAAGTACCTATTCTTGGAAGCAATTCCTACAATCTCGTTATCGCCCGGTTCTAAAATACCACAGGAACAATGTTATTCACATCGTGCTTATTTATTTTTGGACTGAATCTTGCGCCCATATCGGTACAAACGTGACAGCTCTAGCTGTAGTGGACACGACCATTGACCCCTGGTCGCAGAGCTCTCTGAAGGGAATTCCCGGACTAAGGACTCGATCCGTGAATGAGTGAGTGTGTTGGGGAGGGGGTAATAAGGGTAGAGATGCAAGCGGCATGATTTATCGGTTATTTACATTGTGGGGATTAAAGAGTAATGCAGAAATTTTTGTTTTCATTACGAATTTATTTGGAGATGTGACGGTAATCCGCTTAATTCTCCGTACAAATACCAGTCACTCTGTGTGAGTTATCAACTTCACTACTTCAGATACTTCTGAACATCAGGGATTATCGCATTTTGCTGGAAAGCGCTCGTTGCAATTACAGTAATGATCATTCGGGGGAAGTTGGCGTAATCCTATAAAAAAAGGGAATCTATAGAAATCGTGTAAATTTGAGATTCGAGTTTTCAGCTGTTGTCATAAACTTGTGATTATTAAATTAAGGGATTAAGGGATGTAGGATTATCAGGGATGTCATGCCATGTAAATTTTTGAAGTTATTGGATTGTGCGAATGAAAAAATTTAATCGAAAAACTCAGCAAATTCGCTGGACAATTCTATTGAACTTTCTATTTGTTTTTCCTCCGATTCTATTGAAATATTTAATACAAACTATTCTATAGAAAATGTTCATTGAATTCGATTTTTCTATACTACTTATTTAATTGAGATACTTTCTGTAGAATTTCCTCGGCTCAAGTTTTTCGAGTTTTTTGTTTGTATTTCTTGATGAAAAAAAAGAAAAATAGAATGAAAAAAAGGAAGAAAATTAGAGCCGAGGAATTTCTATAAAAAATATCTTAATAGAAGAGAAGAGAGTCGGGCAAAATGTTCCGTGTTGAGATCTTTTCCAATTGTCAATATTTTCATTTATAAATGAAGATATTAGATCAAATAACGAAACCTCCCCTTTTACCCGACTCTCCCTAAGTTACCGAGAAGTAAAATGAACAAGAGCATTGTTTTCGTAAAAACTCGAGTTTTGTTATCATCAAACGGGATTATGTACTAGAATTGCGGTTGAATCTCTCTGACTGTTTTATAATTCCTTTGAAAAATGTTTCATTTTTCTGTCACGTTTTTTTAATTGGTTGAGAACCCCTGTTGATTAACTTGGTGGATATAGGATAATCACCGGTGTGATATACCCCAACTGCTTTTTCTCATTCAAACAATGCAACCACATGACTCGTAATTCATAAATGAAACGTTTTTTCTCTCCTGCATACTTGATGGTACTTCATTTTTGTTTTTCATTATTAAAAGTGCATTAGTTGACGTCATTTAATTGGACAATTATTACCCATCATTATCTTCCTCAGATGCTAATATTCATGAAAAACCTAAAAAGTGTTCGTGTAACTCCGCTTTTCCCTGAAGACTATTCACACGATCTCGTTACAATTTTTCTTTCCGAAGCCCAAATGACATGCCATAGTCTTCTGTATCCTCCATAGAACGATGTTCGCAAAATATTTCATTTCTGCATTTGACATTCTTTGAATTGACTCCAACTCAAGAAGAATAAGCAGTTCCGTTGATAGATGAAGTAGGAAATGGCCTGGTGAGGAGAATCGAAGGATGCGGCTTTGTCTGGCTATAGAATCGACAGTGGTCTTGTATCAATGATACATATCGCAAACCCACGCTTTTGTACGAAATACTAGCGCAAAGTATTGCTATAAACCAACCTACGCTCATTGTACGCGTCCATGACTCCGATGGTTCGTGTCACTTCGAGCATGACCGCTGCACCGAGGAGTCCCACTTGGCGAGTGTTCAATGTCGAAGGCATTGTACGTACGATAAA